ATGTCTTGTTAAAATAATTTAACAAGTTTATTTTCATATTATTTATTTTGGTTTAAATGTATTTTATCACATGTATATCTATATATTATAAATATTATTATTTAATAAATACATTACATTATACAAGTAAATATATTGTCACATTTTTCAATACATGAAAAGCATCAATTCCTTATGTATCATTCAATATCTTGTAATATATTAACACATTATTCAGTATATTTTCAATGTACATTAAACAATTTAATATATTGATTGTTAATGTACGAGACAAGATGTTTTCTTTCCGTAAGGGTTGTGGTCCTGCGGTCGTGTGTGATGCTTTAATGCGACACATTTGTTGCAATCCGCAAGATCTCGAAAATTAAATGAAATGTAAACAGGTTGTAAATAAGAATGCACACTGCAAATGTAAAAGCTGTTAGTTATCAGTACATGAATATTCATCACAGTTAATCAAGCGCATAATAGAGTTCCAAAGGTTGTGCGTAATTAACAAAATGTTACTTTCATTCAGTGGTGTATAAAGTACCTGAAAGCCATACTCAAGTAAAAGTACAGATATCTTACCAGAAAATGACTTTGGTAGAAGTTGAAGTCACCGTTTAGAACATTACTGGAGTAAAAGTCTTAAAGTATGTGATATTTATTGTACTTAAGTACGAAACGTATTTTTTAAATCTTAAACGTACTTAAGTATTGAAAGTAAAAGTACAAGTAAATGCAAAATGGAAAAGAAGAAAATAAATAATATATATAAAAATGTTCATGCACAGCTTGAGTAGCAAGATTGTGTTCAGTTTTAACTCTTTCTTCCATTTTGCATTTGCAGTTACAGATGCATAAATAGGCCTAATGTTTTGTTTTTAACATAAACGTTGAATACCAATATTTAAAATCATTTAATTTTAACATGAAAAAATAGTTGAAATGTGAAATTAAAACCGCCAGTAGGTGGCAGCAAGTGACTGTTAATGAGCGAGTCATTGAGATTCAACCGATTCATTCAAACGACTGATTCATTCAGAAACAAAGCATTTAACTGTGTTAATGAGTGAATCACTGAATCATTTTTATCAACTGATTCGTTCAAAAAGCTGATTCATTGAGTAAGTAAACACCGTCCATTGCTCAGAGACGCAAAACATGTATATCGCACACCCCAGCCTCGACTTGAGTGGAAACTGAAATCATCCGCGCACACGAGCAAAGGTGTTTTTTAGGAGTCTTAACTTGCAAGCGCCAGACCACTGATTCGTCAAACCTGCTTTCCTGCAGTCCGTGTTCTATGAATCATTCGCGATTGTGCACGCAGCCACGCACTTTTTTTTGCACATGAGCAAAGGTGTTTTTAGGAGTCTAACTTGCAAACGCCAGACCACTGATTCGTCAAACATGCTTCTCTGCAGTCCGTGTTCTTCTGACTCTTTTGTAGTAACGAATATGCTTCGGGGAAATGTATCGGAGTAAAAGTATAAATTTTAATTAGGAAATGTAGTGAAGTAAAAGTTTGCTGAAATATAAAAACTCAAGTAAAGTACAGATACTCCCAAAAAATACTTAAGTCACTTCGTTACAGTACACCACTGCTTTCATTTTACATAACAACTATATAGATTTATGCACACCTCCGAACATTCATCAACCAATCAGATTCAAGCATTGAACAGCCCTAGCATTGGATTGCTATAACAATGGATTAAAGCATCATCATTAGTGTTATATTCATCCGACATCTTACATCATCCTCCCAGAGCTGCTTCCGTGTACAACTGTTGGCGCAAGCTAGATTAAAGTGATTATTAAGTTTCGAATATGGATATTTTTATTACAAAACCGCATCGATTCGTTACAGGAGGCCTTTGTTTAAAAAAAGTTACAGTGGCCTTTATCATGAGATCAAAAAGTAATTACTGATTGCTTATTAATATAATAATGTTCTGTAACTGTGCTTTCAGTCATTGTTTTAATTATTTTCTCAAAACTGTTAAATTAGATAAAATAAATATTTGATAAATGCAAAATCAATAAAGGCACCTAAATATTTTTATGTTGTATAGATTTGATGCTTAGTTAAAATGTGAGTTTACTTTCATAAGCCACTTTTTTTGTGTGAAGTTATGCTCAGTAATGTTCCAGTGTGCTGTAAAAGAAAAAGATTAATCTTTTTGTTTCAAGTTGAAAGTTGTTTGCTGATGTAGTGCAACAACGGTCGCCGTGATTTTGCCAAGACATGTTCCTGGATCAACATCTTTTGTTGATCCTGGATCAACATTACTGTCCAAAAATATAAACTAAACCCAATCCCTAGCCCCTAAACCTACCCCTACCCATAATTTATTCCTAAAATCAGTGTGAAATGATAGCTGATTAACAAGGGTGTAGAAGCACCTAACCCTGACCGTAAGCCTAAAACAGACATTTCCTGAAAAGTTATGCCTCGATTCTGATAGGTTGATTGGAATGTTGTTCCAGGATCAACAAGGATGTGTTGATCCAGGAACATGTTGTACTTGGTGAAATCACGGTCACCGTGCAACAACAATAAAATTTATTTCACCAGAAAATACTAACCTTTTCTGTGTGTGCAATAATAATCAATAAATAATTAATTATTGTGTCCATTAAACATTAAAGTTCACTTTGACTGGTTACTAATGTTTAATACTCATTAATAAATGGTTCACAGCTGTTCACTTTACATTAAGGTTCACTTTCACAGGCTACTAACGTTTATAGCTCATTAATAAATGGTTCACAGGTGTTCACTTTACATTAAGGTTCACTTTCACAGGCTACTAACGTTTATAGCTCATTAATAAATGGTTCACAGGTGTTCACTTTACATTAAGGTTCACTTTCACAGGCTACTAACGTTTATAGCTCATTAATAAATGGTTCACAGGTGTTCACTTTACATTAAGGTTCACTTTCACAGGCTACTAACGTTTATAGCTCATTAATAAATGGTTCACAGGTGTTCACTTTACATTAAGGTTCACTTTCACAGGCTACTAACGTTTATAGCTCATTAATAAATGGTTCACAGGTGTTCACTTTACATTAAGGTTCACTTTCACAGGCTACTAACGTTTATAGCTCATTAATAAATGGTTCACAGGTGTTCACTTTACATTAAGGTTCACTTTCACAGGCTACTAACGTTTATAGCTCATTAATAAATGGTTCACAGGTGTTCACTTTACATTAAGGTTCACTTTCACAGGCTACTAACGTTTATAGCTCATTAATAAATGGTTCACAGGTGTTCACTTTACATTAAGGTTCACTTTCACAGGCTACTAACGTTTATAGCTCATTAATAAATGGTTCACAGGTGTTCACTTTACATTAAGGTTCGCTTTCACAGGCTACTAACGGTTGTTCACAGGTGATCACTTTACATTAAGGAACGCTTTCACAGGTTACTAACGTTTGTAATTAATTAATAAATGGTTCACAGGTGTTCACTTTACATTAAAGTTCACTTTCACAGGTTACTAATGTTTATAGCTCATTAATAAATGGTTCACAGGAGTTCACTTTACATTAAGGTTCACTTTTAGATGTTATTAACGTAGATTCTGGTAAGAAACATTGTAAGAAAAGTGACACAGGTCATGAGATATAAATGAGAAAACCATAAATACAACAACCTTTAGTCTTGCTATAATAATAAATTTTTGCTGCATCATGAATAAAATCAGGAATCAAATATATTTGTTAAGCATTTATGACATGTGAGTTAAAAATGGCTCACTATTTGGCAGGTATTGCATCAAAATCACCCTTTTATTCATGCATTTATAACTGCATATCATTGATTTATAATGCATTTGTAAGTGAGTTATTAATAATTTATTAACACCTTTATAAATCCTTTATAAAGGGAACCTTAATGTAAAGTGTTACCTGATTTTCTTCGCCCTTTTCTTCACTCTGGAGATGTAAAGTTCTTGAAGGTTGGGCAGAGGAGCACCGACAATCCTCTCCACCCAAAATAAAAATCAAGATGATAATTTAATCTTGATAAAATATATAGGTTTCTAATAATTGCTGTGGATAGGCATCATGAACTTTTGCGGAGAATCATGGTAAGGTACAGAGTAGATTCTGGTAAGAAACATTGTAAGAAAAGTGACACAGGTCATGACATATAAATGAGAAAACCATAAATACAACAACCTTTAGTCTTGCTATAATAATAAATTTTTGCTGCATCATGAATAAAATCAGGAATCAAATATATTTGTTAAGCATTTATGACATGTGAGTTAAAAATGGCTCACTATTTGGCAGGTATTGCATCAAAATCACCCTTTTATTCATGCATTTATAACTGCATATCATTGATTTATAATGCATTTGTAAGTGAGTTATTAATAATTTATTAACACCTTTATAAATCCTTTATAAAGGGAACCTTAATGTAAAGTGTTACCTGATTTTCTTCGCCCTTTTCTTCACTCTGGAGATGTAAAGTTCTTGAAGGTTGGGCAGAGGAGCACCGACAATCCTCTCCACAGTCCTAATAGCTGAACTAAACCAGACAGATATAGACAAAAACAGGACAGACTCTGTAGAACTGTTTCAGCAGATCCTGTGGCAGGTTGAATCTCCTCAGCTGGCGAAGTACAAACTCTTCTGGGCCTCTTTAGCAATAGAGTCTATGTGAGTGTCCCACTTCAGGTCCTGAGAGATGGTGGTTCCCAGGAACCTGAATCACTCCACTGTTGCTACAGTGCTGTTCATGATGGTGAATGCAAGGGGTTTCTCCTGCAGTCCACTATCACTGTTTTGAGTGTGTTGAACTCCAGGTTGTTGTGATTGCACCAGACATCCAGCTCTTTAAAGGGATAGTTCCCCCAAAAATGACCCAGAAAAAATTCTGTCATTAATTACTCACCCTCGTGTTGTTCCAAACCCGTAAATCCTTCTTTCATCTTCGGAACACAATGTGTCATCAGTGGTTCAACCGTAATAGTACGAAGCTAACCCAGATCCAGCGTGATGACGTTGAACACATGTGCCTTGTGTTCAACGTCATCACGCCGGATCTGGGTCAGCACCGGCGCCGCCACACGCTTGTGTCATGGTACTGTCGTGAACGCGCGTCCACAAGTGATGCAGTAGAGACGAAAATGTGGAATAAAGTCATTATTTTTGTTTTCTTAGCGCAAAAAAAGTATTCTCGTAGCTTCGTAACATTACGGTTGAACCACTGATGTCACATGGACTACTTTGTTGATCATCTTGGTACTTTTTTGTGCCTTGACCGTGGTAGTTCCCTTGCTGTCATCAAAAATATCTCAAATTGTGTTCCGAAGATGAAAGAAGGTCTTACGGTTTGGAACAACACGAGGGTGAGTAATTAATGACAGAATTTTCATTTTTGGGTGAACTATCCCTTTAACCTCCTGTCTGTAAGCAGACTCGTCTCTGTTGTGGATGAGGCCGATGATGGTAGTGTCATCTGCTAATTTCAGGAGCTTGACAGAGGGATCTTTTGCAGTGCATTCGTTCGTATACAGGGAGAAGAACAGTGGGGAGAGTACATATCCCTGAGGGGCGCCAGTGCTGATTGTGAGAGTCCTGGATGTAAGTTGCCCAGCCTCAATAGCTGCTACCTGTCTGTCAGGAAGCTGGTGATCCACTGACAGATTGGGGTGGGCACGGAAAGCTGGGTCTGTTTGTCTGAGACAAGGTACATTAAGCCAACACTTGCAACTGTTCTGCAATTACCTTTCCACCTAATTGCTCAAAAATGTGCAAAATTATGCGCAAGTCATCAAATAAAGCGCGCGCATTCATAATAAAACGTGCCGCAGACGGCTCCGGGGGATGAATAAAGGCCCCCCAGGGCTTCCGCTGACTGTCATACACTGAAGCAGTTCCGGCAGATGACGTAAGACACGCGGCGTTCCGAGATTAGTGACGAATGCGGAGAGAGAACAAAACAAAATGCCGGTCACGAATTAGAAGTACAAACTGAGGATTTGCAAAGAAAAATGTCGGAGGATTTCGATATAAGCCAAGAGGAGACTGGTTTTCCTTTGCTAAAGTAAGGAAACTTTGCTTCCTTTGCTCCTATAAACAAACTCGCGAGACTAGCATATCTCAGAGGCGCGCGCGCTACGTATACGTGCTGCGTCATCCTCCGGATACAATCAATACAGTATTGTTACTGTTAGGGGGATTCTGACTTCGAGGCATTCAGTCATAATCCCACAGATGGTAGCTTTGCACCAGTGGCTCCTCAGCCAAGCACACGCACCAAATGTCTGAACCTCTTTTACTGAGAAGGATTTTTATTGCAATGACGGTACATCAGTAGGGTAAAACTATCTTGTCTCACGACAGTCTAACGGTACATTCACACGGGGCGTCGCCGTCGACACTTGATGGAGGGCGTTTCTGAAGCTTGGTGTTGACGCGACCGTCATAGTGACAACAGCCAATCACATTAGTTTTCTGGTGTTGCATGAACGTGATTGGCTAGCGTCTGCACCAGGGTATTTGCATAAGGTGATCTGATGAATGGGGCGTAAACCTAGCTCCACGTTCCTTGGTGAATTCTGCTTCACAATGATAGGAAGAGCCATCATCAAAAGCTCAAAAAGCGATGTTGCATTGAACGCTTGGCAGCCAGTTATCCCTGTGGTAACTTTTCTGACACCTCCTGCTTAAAACCCAAAAAACCAGAAGGAGACCCCACTTTAACGGTCCGTATTTATACTGAAAATCAAGATCAAGCAAACTTTTTCCCTTCTGTTTCACGGCAGGTTTATGTCCTTCCTGAGCTCTCTTAGGGACACCTGCATTACCGTTTCACAGGTAAGGTTTACTGTCCCTGGGGCAGGTAGAGCCCGGGACCACGGTGGGCCCCAATGCTTGACGCTACATGCAAGAGCCCGTCGGAATGGGGCCTCCCACTTATTTTACACCCCTCATATCTCTTCACAGTGCCAGACTAGAGTCAAGCTCAACAGGGTCTTCTATCCCTGCTGATTCTGCCAAGCACTGAAATCTTGCTGAGACATTTAAAGGGTTAGTTCACCCAAAAATGAAAATTAGGCTGCGTTTGTTGTACTCAGCGGGTGTTGCATTGCTTCGGTTCAAAAGACATGAAATAAAAAGCACCTTTGCATAAAAAAAAGTGTCTCACACGGCTCCGGGGGGTGAACAAAGGCCTCCTGTGTTTTTGTAAGAAAAATATCCATATTCAAAACGTAATAATCACTTTAATCTAGCTTGCGCCAACAGTTACACACAGAAGCAGTTCCGGGGGAATGACGTATGAGTTCAGTGTTGCACATGCGCCGGTGAGTCTCGTGAAAACCAACATTTGTTTATAGGATCAAAAGAAGCAAAGTTTCCTTACTTTAGCAAAGGAACACCAGTCTCCTCTTGGCTTATATCGAAATCCTCCGACATTCTTCTTTACAAATCCTCGTTTTGTACTTCTAATTAGTGACCGTTGTTTTGTTTCGATCTCTCTGCGTGAGTCACTTCTGAGCGGCGCATGCGCAAAGCTGACCTCATACGTAATTCCCCCGTAACTGCTTCCGTTTAAAACAGTGAGCGCAAGCTAGATTCAAGTGATTATTACGTTTTGAATATGGATATTTTTCTTACAAAACCGCATCGATTCGCTACAGAAGGCCTTTGTTCACCCCCCGGAGCCGTGTGAGATACTTTTTTTTGTGGAAGGGTGCTTTTTATTTCACGTCTTTTGGACTGAAGGAATGCAACACCCGCTGAGTACAACGATAGAGCTTGAAAGATCAAAGACAATTTTTAATATAACTCCGACTGGATTCGTCTGAAAGAAGAAGTCATATACACCTAGGATGACTTGAGGGTGAGTAATTTATGGGCTAATTTTCATTTTTGGGTGAACTAACCCTTTAAATAAGCATTAACCCACAAGACTACATTGTCGGATAGACCAACACTTCTAAGCCTATCTAACAAAATCTCATGCTCCACTGTGTAAAATGCGTTAGTTAAATCAATAAAAAGACATGCATGGTGGTGTTTTTCTTCTAGGGACCCCACAAGGTCATTTAAAACTTTTGAGATAGCTGTAATGGCACTGTTTTTTTTTTTGTTTTTGTTTTTTTTACAAAATCCTGATGTTGTAAAAAAAAAAAAACTAAAGTTTATGAGTGCGTAAATACTGTAAATTGTTAACGGATAAAACTTTCCAAAAGTTTTGACAAAATACACAGTTTTGAAACAGGTCTGTGGTTATTTAAAGTAGGGCCCGCCCCCTTTCAACAGAGGAACCCCGAATGCAGACTTCCAGATCTGTGGAAGTTCCTTGGTTGTCTTATTATTGAAACATTATTTTCAGTGATGTTCCAACATTCCTATTTGTAATGGTTTTTATCTACAAAATACACTTGACACTTATAAAAATGTAAAGGTCTGTAAACAATAGTACGTTTAGGCTAACAAAGTTGCAAGTGTTGCAATTAATTGACCCTTGTATGTTTGCATATGCAAAGCTTCACAAAAAATGGGATGTGTGTACGTATTGTTCATTAACTCATAGTTGGATAACCCAGACCTTTCACATTTGTGCATTTTGCTTAAACCGGTACAAACAAAGAGGTAAACAAAAAAAGTACAATAGAGAAACAGGCTTGATAAACATTGTTTGAACAAAGTTCAAAGTTAATATTTAGTGTTTGTCATGTGACAACATTGTAGCATACTACTCTGAAACATTTCTTATGCTGCGTTCAAGTCCTCCTGGGACGTTCGTACTCACGAGTTGACAAGTCGTAATTACGACATCAGGTGCGTTCAAGTCAGTTTAGTCGGCACAAGATGGCGGTGTACCTTCTTTGAATAAATTACAAGAAAATACAACAGGGTCTGTTAACTCTGCTTATAGAAAATGAAGAGCAAAGAATTCGCATCAGGTGTGTTTTGCGTTTTTAATATTTTTAAAAAGTAATTTATGAAGCCACTTTAATCTGTATCGCATAAAAACTAGTGTTACAAGAATATGACCAATTAAAGTTTATAGGACAATTAAACTATCAATTTAAACAAAACGTTACCGTCAACTACAGACGTTGCATCCATCGATTCCGCCATGTTTCTCATTGACACGCCCCCAACTCGGAAACTCGGGGCTTAAAGAAAATTTCGAGTTTCCCACTCGTAATAACGACTTTGTGGTGGCGTTCATGTGCGTTCAACTCGTAAATACGATCTATCCGACATGACTTGAATGCACCAATACTTATTGTATACTGTTTCACACACTATTCTTTCAAAAAAATAGTAGGTAGTAAACAAGTATGCCATTTCTAACACTTTGTACGCTTTGTAATGTTTTATTTTGGCCACTAGACGCCATAGGACTCTCATTCTAACTTGTGCCTCTAGTAATCAGTGTTATTGTGTTCACATGCGTCTCATTCAGTGATGTGTATTTAAGCTGATCTGTTTCTCTGTATCTTCACTTGGTTTTGTTCTGCAGATGTGCCATAGCCTTTTGTGTCTCCTCTTGGTTTTTCTCTCAGACCATTGTCTTGACAGTTTTCCAGACTGGCAGAACATAGATGGGGTCCAGCTTCTTCACAAATGCTCTAAATGCCTGTCGTCTTCCACGATGGAGAAAGGCTGCAACTCCTTCACAATCATGTTGACAAGGGCCTCATCAAACTCTTTCTTCCTTCCTAATAACACGCAGTACAATTACCATTCATTCATATTGGCAGAGTAATTCAAAGTAACAAAGTAGGCAATTCAGATTAACCCCTTCGAAGTAAGCCCATGCAGTGTTTAACCAAGAAATACAACATTTCATCTTTTAATAAATGTGCATTGGCAATACAAAGTCTGTACATCCCTTAGAGTTCAGATGATTACAATATAGATGTAGACACCATTCAAAAGTGCTTGTTTGGTGTTGGTCTTAAATCCAACATGGCCTTTGTGTATACAAAAAATCCCACCCAACTAATGGATACTAAAATACAGAGGTGGGGAAATGACC